CTACGACTGCCACTACTATCACTACTACTAGTACTGGTACTGCTAGTACTACTGCTACTACTACTACTACTGCTGCGACATAAAGTGACCATGCATAGAGTCATAGAGTCACGTTGAAACCACAGTAATCAGGGATGTCTATATAGTGAGGTTCCGGAGCTAGGAAAGGAAGACTTCTGCGTCATGTTGGACTATACCCTAAACCCTCTAAACCTGAACATTAGTGTTCATAGAGTGAACTACATCAAGTCAAGTGCGTGGTACATAGATGACGCCATGACTCTATAACTCTTTCTCACTCTGACGCTATGACTCTATAACACTGTGACTCTATGATTCTGTCTCACTGTGACTCTATGACTCTATATGACTCTATGACTCTTTGAACTATGACTTGTGCTTGACATGTACTCGACTCTATTTCTCGATGACTCTATGAACTATGACTTGTACGACTCTTGACTGTATGTGACACTCCGACTCTGTGACTCCGTGCTTTTGATTCGGTGACTCTATTACCCTATACACTGGATTCTATGACGTAGCGCAACACTCTTCGCTGATGATGCTTTCGGGCCAATTGTCTTCTAGTTGCTATTTCGGATGGAGCGAGAGAAGCAGCCACTGTCACCGAGGTTACATACGAAAAAGCAAGACAGGATGCCGCAGTACATGGGCTTCGCAGCGTGCACAACATGTTTCCAAGTTTTTGAAAGGTGGGCCAGGCATATAAGTTAAATAGCGAAACTTCGTGGCATGTGGCAAGTAGTTCCTTCATACGAATTGATGTTTTGTCTTTTTTGGAACCTTCGCAAGAAATCGTGACAACTGGAGACAGTTTGAAGAAGATTGCAGAGACAAAAAAGAATTTGCAAAGATAAATTTCCAACACAAACTTGCGAAAAGAAGCAACATAGAATTTTCCAAATAGCAGTTTGGGTTTAGTAGGTTTTTCTTGAGAGTTTTTTGGGCAACAAACTCCAAAACCGTGGAATGTTTTCTTGCAGCGCTGCAAAAACATTACCCAGTGAAGAACCTGCTCGGATGTGAATTCCAAAAAACTTACACGTCATTCTGAGTCTTTTCCTTTTCGAAAAATTAAATTCACCATCGGTGACGCCTAGAAACTAGTATCGAAGTGTTATTACGAAGGCCTGCAGGCCACGCGCGTCGGAAATTGGCTTTAGTTCTATTGCCTTGCAGGGCAGTGCTGTGTGCGGCATTGACAAGCACAGTTCACATGCCTATGTTTGCGCCAGGAAGATAGGGCCAAGGCAGAAGCTAAGCACACATCACAAAATCACACCGACCTTGCAAAGCGCATGCATTTCACCATGTCTTGTGCACTACGTTTGTTCTTTTTCTGTAACATTGACTTTGGTGCTTCCGTTCCCGGCTTTTCGGTTGGATGTAATTGACACATGTCGCCAATCACTGGAAGTCACTTTCAGAGCGTGTGCAAGGCAATAGGTGAATTTAATTTCGAGGCGAAGTGCTGACCAATAGATTATGTGGGTGGGTCAGCATTTTCGCCGATGACACATCGATTTGCGTGCTGGAAAACATTGTGAAACGTTTGCTTAAAATCCTCGGAAGAGTCATACGTGGGATTGTTAGACATATCGTTGTGTAAAGAATCGTCACAACAGAGTCGAGGCATGGCACTCCAAAGATAGCGATGCCACCGACGACGATGATGATGTTGATGACGGCGGTGATGGCACCGAAAGAGACGTTGATGTTGATTTGGATGCCGGATTTCCGTGAGCATGCAGCTGCAGGATCAAGTTCGTGTGTGGGGTTGGTTGCTGCTGTTTGAGAGACAACCAACAATGGAAGCTAAAGTCATATTAACAAGAATCCTCCGGGCGAACTCACAATTCAGGCGAGAGGCTTTTCAACACACATTCCATGCTCACTCCCACCGCAACCATCGGCTCGAGATTCATCATTTTCACCCGTGGCCTCCAGTCCATGCCTAAATTACGACTGTTGAAAAGAGATTACACCCCAACTGTGCGGGTATAATAACCTGTAGGCCTCAGACCAAAAGAAGAGTTGGACATGCGGGTTTTGGCGTTTGGCCTGGTTCTGCAAGCACAAAGTTTTGGAGATCACCAGGCTGTCGTCGGTTGTTGCCGCTTTTAGTGTTCAGCGAGAACCGCTAGGATAGGTTATTGTGGTTGTTGTTGTTGCTGCTGCTGCTCTGCTGCGCATGTTGTTTATGTCGCTGTTCTGTTATCAAATGAAGCATGTCCTCACATTCCTTGTGGCGATGATGCCGACGATGACGATAATGATTTGCATGTTGGCAGGTTTGATTCTTGTGATTTGGATGGTGATGGATTTCTCAAAGTGCAATGCTTCGCAGCTTTACAATGGATTGCCACGGCTTGAGGGGCAAGGGCCCAGAACAGACACTCTTAACTCTTAACCCTAAATACAAGCCCTAGCCCGGTACCGAAACCCTCAACCTCACAATCTAACCGTCGTGAGCATTTAGGATCAATGTTCGAGCACCTGGTTTGATGTTTCGGGTCGGGTTTACCCAAAGATCCCAATACCATTCGATTAAGGATCGTGTTGGAATCACAATATTATGATCAGTTTTGAATTCAGGCATATTCCTTTCGTGAGAAGCTCTCTGGGTATGGTGTAAATGCAGGGATTCAGGGTTCAGTGTGTTTTGCATGTCAGAGCTTAGAAGTTCAGGATTTGGGGTTCAGGGTTTTGTTTCCTTTTTTGTTTTGAGTTTTCGTTTCTAGGATTTAGTGTTTTGAGAGTTTCATGTGTCGGGGTTTCGGGTCTACGACTCACCGCGGGGGCTTATGCAGGATTCATGGTCCAATTGTCGGGGTTCGGAGGTCAAGATCTTCGATACGTCGGGTTTGCACTGTTCTTAACTAGTATCATGACTGTCGGCCCTGGTTGGGGCTGCAAAACCTTCAACCCTCAAGCACGAAAGTTTAAACTTAGGCCGCAGAAGGCTCCAAGGCCCCCGAGCCCAAGGTTTGCGCCAGCCGTAAGGATCATGCATTGACTGCCCCCAGAGTGAATCAGAATCTGTCATCTAGAACGTCCCCTGTGTAACACGTGCTGTCCGCGCTCCTCGTCGGTTTCGGTCAGTGCTTGTGCCTCGCCAGGTGGATCTTGAAGCGGAAGAATTGGGACTGCTAAATCGTTGTTTTGAGTCCAGAAGCCAATTTTTCAATTGCTGCGGGAAGTTTCACGTCCCGGTTGTAGGGGGGATCAAACCTCCTCCTGGTTGCTTTCACAAAGACAGGCGGCATGCGAGGACAAAGACCCCGCTGGATCCTTACCGCCGGGCATACAAGCGTTGCTGTGACGAACCTCTGTTGCGGCATCGTCAAATGCTTCGTAAGGTCAACCCAAATACCGAGGGGGGGAACTACACGCTTCTCTATGCCAATCCGTCGAAATATTTCGTCACAAACGATACTCTCTGGCTGCCAGGTTTCCGATTATACGATCTTGGAGCAGCAAGCATGACGGAGAGGTTCGTGAGCTTGTACTCAGCTCTCTTGGATTTTAATTACGGAAAAAGGGCCTACAACATGGCACACAGCCAGGAACTTTACAGACAAGGTACATCTTCTGTTCCAGGAATAGACGGGGAAAGTTTTGCTCCCGTCTTTCGCTCTTTTCTCTCCAGCAACATCAGCCTGAGCTACACATTTGTCGACGTGGGGGCCGCAGACGGCAGTTCTTCTCAAAGCCCGCTCTTCGAGTTTATGAGCAATCACCGTGCTCGGATACGTGGCGTGGCCCTGGAAGCCAGAGAACCTTTCTGTGCGAGGTACCGAGTAGCCTGGCCTGAGGTAGACCTTCAATGTGGTCGGCTAACCGCTCAGAGTCTCTACGATTCGCCGCCAAGCTTGAAAGCTTTAAAACCAGCCTGCTCTCAGGCATACTGTGTGGATGTCTGGAAGGTTGATATTGACAGCATAGACTGCACCGTGCTGGAAGTCTTGCTGAGGGGAACTGAGCTGGAGTTGCTTCCCAAGGCTTTGATCTTAGAGGTGAACCCGGACTATCCACCTCCATACAAGTTCAGCGTAACCGGGATTCAGGGGCTGCCCGAGACGGATGATGATTTCTGGGCGCGGGCCATGCTTGGTCTATATGGTTGCTCATTGAGCCATCAAGTTGCTTTGCTTCGCGAATTTGGCTATTGGTTGGTCGGATACCATCACAAAGATGCTCTTTATGTTCACAAGCACGTTGCTCATGCTCTGCGTGCTTCGGGGCCTTTGGACGAGTTTTTGGCTTACAGCAACGCGCTGGTCATGATCGGATCTGGCTTGCCGCCTCCGATCTTGAGGCGCTGGCTATATTCACGTCCTCACGTTGGTGTGGGCTCAATCCAGCAGCACTTGCTGCGGGCTCAGAAACGTCTGAAGCGAGAGGTGAGCTTTACCTTGAGCATCTGAAAATGCGGAGTTCGGAGATGTCGCTTGTGAGCGAGCTCTCGGGTCCGTCTAGTGCTTCTGTGTGTCATTAGGAGTGCATGCTATCAGCACTATTCTATGTTATAGTATCGTATATTGTTGCATTTTTTGTAGCAACCTTTAGTTTATTGCAGTATCTTTCAGTCCATGTTGATGTATTACGTATGGTATGGTTCGTTGCTGTTGATGCGTTTGCTGATTTGATGCAAGCGAGCTTGAAGATTCTGGAAAGGTCCAGCAGTGTTGCAGCTCCGCCTTAGACGAAAGGTATCGGGAAAACTTCAGATTGCGGTTCATACATCATGGCATAGTTTCCCAGCGTCCGAGGCCAGATTGTTCTTGGCTTGATGACATTGCCTAAAACCAACAGTCCCAAGCCACAAACCCAAAGCCCTGTAAGCCCTACACAAACCTTAAGCCCCAAACCCTAAACCTTAAACCTTGGACCCTGAACGCCCTGAACCCCCATAAACCCACTAAGCCCTCAACCCCACTTAAGCCGTAAAACCCGAAGCTCGGACATCTCGAGCCATGGATCCAGGGATGCCGCCGGATTTGCTCGCCAGGTCCTTGTCGGTGTTCAGTCTGTTTCCGCTTGCCTTTCTATGTATATCATGCAGTCTCTGTCTTCTTCTCGTGGTTGCAGTTTCGGTCAAACGGTTGTTGTGATATGGCACCGTGGATGGTGGTTTTAGCGGCAGTCCTGCGCCGTTGCTGATGCCGGTGCCGCTGTTCTGCAGGTTGGTACGAGCGGCGCGGTACTTGGGGTTTAAGGTTTAGGGTCTAGGGTTACAATTCTACTTAGGCATTGAGCACTTGCTTGGATGCGACTCACGGCGCCGTCGACTCAGCACGGGGAGGGGATCTGAAAGTCTTAGGCTAAGGAACCTGATTAAGAAACCCTGGTCTTAGAACCAAACTGTTTGGATGTAGAGAGCCCTTGTAAAGAAGACCCATAGTTTTAGAGTTGCTCAAAGCAACTGAAGGTATTTCGGATAAACAGGAGTATTATTTTCGTGTCACAACAGTCGTTTCAGCTGTGTTAGGTGGCAATGTCGAGATGGAAAATGGAGATGCGCAGCAGTACTCACTTCGTAGTCGGAACAACGAGCGTGAAAGGTCAATGTAGGAAAAGTAACAAGCAAATTGCTAGGCTAGTACTTTACGATTACAGAAGTGGCGTTTGCAAGAAATAGCAACGAGAATGGATTCAGCAAAAGTGTCGGAATGAGACAAGCTATGATAGCAACAAGAAGAGTTGTTGCGCATGGCAAGCAGCGTTCGCTTCGGTTCAGGCCGAGTTTCAGCGACTGTGTTGTTAGCCGCAAGATGGTACCCGGAGGATTTTTCATCAATATACCCAGAGCCTCCAAAACCCCTTAATTAAGGAATATACCTTAAATCATATTAGGGCTCCTATTATAATTTAAGGTATATTCCTTAATTAAGGGGTTTTGGAGTCTCTGGGTAACAAGTCTGCAGGGAAGGCTGAGCCTGTAACGGTTCGATGTGGAGCAGAGGTCGCACTTCATTGCAACGTCAGAATGCTTGGCGCATTGACCTGGACCTGGAAGGATTAAGGGTCAAGGTTCAGAAGCTCAACCTGGAGCAGAATCCTATTGAATTAGTGGCTTTGTGAATCATAAGTCGGAAGCGTAGAAGTTGAAATCGTGCCAGCCGTTGATGTCCGAAGCCTTAGAAAATTCCAGATGGAAGACCTCAAAGCCTGCACCCTAAACCCTAAACCCCTAAAAACCCTAAACCCCAAAACCCCTAAACCCCTAAAAACCCTAAACCCCAAAACCCCTAAACCCCTAAAAACCCTAAGCCCTACAGAGATGCCCCCAAGCAGTTTTCAACCATCGGCCCCTTCAAGTTGAACCCAAGGCTTCGGAAGTGGCGCAGCAGTTGCGCATCCTCTCCGCACAGCGGGGCAGTGCCGGCAGGCTTGCAGGATCTGCGATAGTATATATATATATATATATATATATATATTAATGTATATATATATATATATAGATGTCATATAGTAGACTCTATAACCCATAATGTTTGTTAGATTGGTTTAGTCTTCAGGCTTGAGGCTTCCTGCAGACTCCGTGCCTGCAAGCTCGAATGCATGCAGACAGGCGCACGCATTCAGAAGTTTCCAAGCTTGGAAGCCCGCCGCATCTTTGAGCCTGAGGTTTCGCAGTCCGAGTTAGGCTCCTTGTCGCAACCGTGAGAAGGAGTTCTTCTATCATCCCTTTTGATAATCTTCATGGAGCAGTTTTAATGAGTTCTTACAGTAACTCGTTGAATACTTTGCGAGAACCCATACACTAACCCTTTCGATAATGTTCATAGCCCCTTGTGTAGTAACTCTTCTAATGACTCCAAGCCCTGCAGTGAACCCTAGAGATTTTAACCGGCTTGCATCTATCGCCAGACCCAAGCGCATTCACACATGCGCGTGCACGGAAATAGCAGAATGGGTTACCGGGCTACCACAACACGATCTCTACATCTGTATCAATATCTACCTATATCTATGAATATCTATGTCTGTATCCGTCTGTATGTTCATTTGTATCAATTTCTATATCTAGATCTTTATCTATAGCTATACGAGATCTGTATGTATATCTACATCTGTACCTATTCGTGCATCTGTACGTGCATACAACGAACACAAATTCATACTTTCTCGTCCGACCTCGAACTCCAGATTGCAAGACATGTTTCCTCTAAGGTTTCCTGTCGAAGATGAAGGTCTGTGCCGTCTGTCTTGCAAATCTCCCCGTGCCCGCTACATGTTCATCTACAGAGTCACTACAGAGGATCACTTCTTATATCAAGGTGCAGCCGGGATGTTTTTGCAGTTTTGCACTAGCAGTGCAAATGTGTTTTGTGTGGACATGTTTCCTGGACAGGAACACAGTTCCTTTCTGGCGTGGCCTACCCCGAAACGTAGGATTTTCTGTTTGTGTAGGTGTTCTTAGGAACATGCGAAACGCAAGAAGACCACTACTTCATGTGTCGGTTTGGGGAAAGTGTTGCAACACGAAGGAAAGTACTTTAGCAGACCGCGAATTTCATTGAATCTTTACGTTCTGATGTGTAGCGCAGACAGCTTTATCAAGTATTGCTTGGAATGAGTTTAAAGATTGGTTGAACAGAAAAGGCAAAGAACGTACACTCGACACTAGGTAAGAGGCTCTCTTCTCCAGCTCCTGACCACCGGAAGTCCCAAAGCTCATTAAAAACGTGTGAGCAACTCCTAAAACAGAAAACGACAGCATGAGTTGCACCCCTATATTATGGTACCCTTATAGACCCCTTATAGACCCCTTTATAAGGCCCCTTAAAGCCTCAACCACGAACCGGTGCGACCGGCCAAATACATGACGTTAGGGCTTAGCAGGGCCCAGGATTCATTGAATTCCAGTCCGTCCTGCAAGTTTTAGCTTGGAGCCCTAAACCCTAAACCCTAAATCCTGAACCCTAAACCCTAAACCCTAAACCCTAAACCCTAAACCCTAAATCCTGAACCCCTAGCTTGGACCCAAACTCCTCAACTTGAAAATCTGTGCCCTTCACCCGCAGGGCCGTACATCGCTTGAGCCTAGGCTCCCTGCAGAATCCCCTCGGCCTAAACAAGCACTGAAACGCAGGTTCCATTCCGAAGTTGCCGAATGCCTCATGCGCATGAAGGCCAGATAAGCTCGGACTGACAGTAGAAGGTTATTGGACGGGAGTAGTAGTGCTGCTATGTGCTGCTTCTAGTTTTGCGTCTGCTTCTTCTGTTGCAACCATGCCCTGCACCCTAAACCCAATTGCTACTTACAGAAGCCACGTCGTGCAGCATGGAGGATCTTTCTGCGCAAACCTTTCAGGAAGGGCTTGACAAACGAATTCAAACGAATCTGCGGTGATGCTTGGTGCTTGCCGAAACAAACCGCGAAATCTGTCTGCTCGAACTCGTCAAGGCTTTCATGTTTTGGGACTGGGGGTCCAAGATTCCCCCTGCTACCCGAAGCAATGGCCTAATGGTTCTTCCGCTTCCCGGTTGTGATTGCAACGACCTGACGACGATGATGATGACGGGGGTGGTGGTGATGATGATGACGAACCCTAAATTTTGGGTTTAGGGTTTAGGGTGATGATGCTGCCGCTGTTTTTGTTGCCCTCGTGGTGCTTCGGAGACAGACCAGTGCAGGGTAGAGGCTAGAGCCAAAGAATCCTGAGCCTCCTTCGTGCGACTTAACCCAATCCCCCCAAATCCTACAGAATTTTCATAAAGACCCATGATCAAGAGCTTTTGGATCTTAGAGCCCTAAACCCTAAACCCTAAACCCTAAAACCCTATGAAGCCCTTCTGAACAGCCCGCTGGAGCCCTTCGAATCTGACTGCTGAGCCCTCCCACATTATACAAGGTCATAGTGCATGCTCAAGGTTGTGTTACATTGCTTGATTGCTTGATGTTAAAGCTTCATCATATTATGCCATGTTAGGTTATGGTATATTATGTCATACTTTGTTACACTATATCAGACTTTATCTTATTATGTTGAAGTTATACTATACTTCAGTATATTGAGCCCTCAGGAAATCGACGGCATTGCCAAAGTGGAGCCTTCCTCTCAGTACTTGGAGGGTCGGGGGATTTAGTAAGTAGTTAGTAAGTAGACTTATAAGTATCTGTTACTAAGTCCCCCGACCCTCCAAGTAGAAATCCTCAAGCCAAGTAGAGCCGGCCTTGGTTTTCTGCACGGCTACATCCGGGTAGTTCTCTATATTAGGATCCCGTTTTTCGGGCTCCTTAAAGGGATCCATATGGGTTTCTACAAGGGTACTATATGGGTAGTTCTCTAAATGAGGATCCCTTTTCTAGGGCTCCTTAAAGGGATCTGTACGTGTTTCTATAGGGTTTCTATAAAGGTACTCTATGGGTAGTTCTCTAAATGAAAGTGCCTTTGCAAGTCGCCAATTAGTACTGTACCCTTATAAACAGGACAGAAAACGAGACCGTAATTCAGAGAATTACCCATCTAGAGGGTTCTATAAGGGTTCTGAAGGTTCAGGGTTAAGGTTTGGGGTTTTGCATTTGGGATTGCAGCGATTGAGGCTGTTGGGAGTGTTGCTCACCGCGGACGGTCTTGCGTCTTACTTTTTGCCAGCCAAATCTAAAAATGAGGACATGACCGGTGCATTCTTCTGTTTCAACTCCGACCACCATCTTGAAGCTACTCTAAGGCATACTAGTACTGTCGGCGAGCTGTACTCGTATTGCTGCCGGTTTTCGTCGTCGTCGGAGTTATCGTCGTCACAGTAGTCGTAGCAGAAGAAGAAGCAGAAGAACGTAGTAGTAGGAAGTAGGAGCAGCAGGAGGAGGAGGAGCAGAAAGAGTGGGACCGCTTGTACTAGTGCTAGCACTAACACTAGTGCGACCAGGCACTGGCGCTATACATGCTGCTACAGTAACTGTCAGGAAGTAGTAGAGAAAGATGAGGATCATCACAAGTGTGTTGTATATTGGTAGTCGTCGATGCTGTCGTCGCATTGCCGCAGCAGGCAGCAGGGGTACGCTTCGTAGTGTGTGCCTAAAGCCCCAAAAAGGCCTAAACCTCAGACCCTAAATCCTGAACCCTTATTCCGAAATCCTAAACCTTACTTCCTAAATCCTACACCCTAGGCATACTCCTGAATTCCCTTCTAGAACCCTTAAAGATCGTTCTTAACCCTAACTCATAAATCTTTTTAACCCTAATTCCTGAATCCCAAACAAAACTCCTAAATCCCAAACAAAACTCCTAAATCCCAAACAAAATTCCTAAATTCCACACAAAATTCCTAAATCCCGAACAAAATTCCTAAATCCCAAACAAAATTCCTGAATCCCACACAAAATTCCTGAATCCCAAACAAAATTCCTGAATCCCAAACAAAACTCTTAAATCCCAAACAAAATTCCTGAATCCCAAACAAAATTCCTGAATCCCAAACAAAATTCCTGAATCCCAAACAAAGGCAGTGCCGACTCTCCGAGTGCGGAGCCGAATTCCTGTGGTTTTGCGGCTGTACAAGGGCTGTGATGACCCTAAAGCCCTAAAGCCCTAAAACCTTAAACCCTAAACCCTAAACCGGGCTGTGATTCAGTTCAGGGTTTTGAGGGCTTAGAGTTAAAGTGAAGCACATCATAGTAGAGTTACAATAAGAAACAACAGAATAGTATGAGAGGATATGAGTCATTTCATGTCCTAGTTTTCTGTAGTTTCATATTGTCAATTGTATATCACACTTTGTTACACTATTCTATCTTATATTTACAACCCTATTATGTAGTATCTCATTGTATGTTATAATATGTTATATCACGGTTTTTGTTTATCACAGTGCTCTATAGTATCCTATGGAATCTTATACTATGTTACTTGTATTGTACTATACTGCAGAGTATCATATAGGAAGCTTCTTCACTGTGACACTTTGTCGAGGTTTTATACTTAGTACCGGAGGGGGCTTAGTCTGTCAAGGAGCTGAAGCCTGAAATGAATGGATTCGTGCTGAGGCTCAATTTGGGAGTTCCCGAAAACTAGGGTACCTTACTTTGGGGTACTTATAATAAGGATCCTAGTATTTAGGGTACCATATTAGGGTCCCCCTATTTTCGGAAACTCCCATTTGGGTGAGGGACTTCTCAGCGAGGGTTGAAGGGGTATTGCTGAGGCAGCGGTCCAACGGAGGGCCTGTAGACTGCAACCAGGTATGCAGTTGGATGAGTGGCCGCGCAGCTGCTTACTGAATCTCCATGCTGTTTATCGAAGGCCATTTGGGCCACAAGATGTTACCAGCGCTGGGGTAGGCTTCTTTCTCGTAGGCTGAGCGAATGGATACCGCGCGCAGCCTGCGTTTTTCGGTGGTGCCACCTCCGGGGCTGGAAGGCTTCTGTGCTCACAAACGTGACCCAAAGAAGCACGTGGTGAAGAGAAGGAGGGGCAAACGGCCATCTCCCGCTAAAGTGAGCAGAGATTCTCGCCGGCAGCACAAGTTTATCAGCGCATCTCTTGGGCTCCCGAACACTACGCGTGCAGCTGGTGTGATCCAAGAATTGGTACTCGGCGGCGTGCTCTCCGAAGATATCGGTGCATGCCTCCGTCAGGGCAGTGGGAAAGGCCGAAGACGTGATGTGCTCCCCCTCCCACTCTTGCTTGAGTGGCCAGCAGATGTGGATCTCATGGGAGTTGCGCCAGCTGATGCTTTGCACTTCGCCAAGTTTTGCATCGTCAGCTTGAATGTGCTGTGGTCAGACTTCAAAACCGCTCGCCTCCCCAGGGCCGCCGTGGGCAGGCCCACGGCCCCACAACTGGAAGCCCAGAAGCACATTGCCGCGAAAACTGCACGCATGTTGAGCCGGTTCAGCTCTGCCTCAGGTGCTTCCTGGGAGTGGCAAGGAGCTTTTGAGAAATTTGAGCAGACCGCTTCAGCGTGCAGCGAGCCTCTTGTTGGGAGCGCAGTCGACCTTCCCAATAGGGCAGGCACTTGTGACCCGCTGCCGCATTTGGATGCAGACCTCCAGGCTGCAGTCACAGATGCCGCCAGCATTTTTCCGGATGCGCCTACCCATGTCATCGGGCGAGAGTCGACAGCTACGGACAACTACGACGAGTATGTCAAGCTCGTGGTTCGGGAAATCGCCTGCGGAAAGTTGCGTCTGAGGCGCTCTGTAAGGGGCGTGGCGCCGGTTTTCGCTGTGGGCAAGTCTACCACCGGACATCAACGCAAAATCTGGAACGGGGCGGAGCTGTCAGAAGCAGCAGCAAGGCCTCCTGCTCCACCACGGCTCGCAAACCCATCTTCTTTTCTGGACTTGGATGTGGAGCCGCAGGAGGCCGTGTGGTTCTCGAAAAGAGATGCAGAGACTTTCTTTGACGTGTTGAAAGTTCCGGGCCAGCTAACGCCTTGGTTTGGCCAACCTGCCGTCAAAGTCAAAGACCTCTTGGTGGCTGGAGCTTTCGATCTGGACTTCGTCAACAGCTTGGTCGACGACCTCGACGCGACGTCTTTGCAGGTTACCGAAGACATTTTCCCGGTCAGCACGGTGTGGCCCATGGGCTTCAGCTGGTCAAGCGTAGTTGCCCAAAGCACGACGTTGGCATGTGTGGCACGAGCAGGAGTGCCTCTAGAGTGTGCTTTGTCCGTGGAGCATCCGCCGCCCTCAAACCAGGCGGAGCTTTGCATGGTCGCCACCGACGACACAGTCTTCATGCATCGCGACAAGGCCAGAGCAGCTGAAACACTGCAAAGGTTCGACAGCTGTCTGGAAGATGCTGGGATACCACGCAAAGCCGTCAAGGACGTAACCTGTGCAGATGAAATAACTGCACTGGGCTGTGACATTCACAGCCATCCGCATGTGGCAGAGCCTGCAAAGCCGAAGCTCGTCACCTGCGTCAGTGCTGTGCTAGATGTGTTGAACCATAAGAGAGCTTCGCCAAGGGCAGTGAACGGTCTCCTGGGGCTTCTACAGTGGCTTTGCTTGCTACAGTGTCCTGTTTTCGGTGTCTTCAACAAGGTGTACGACTTTGTCCGACAACAGCCTGACACACAGAAGACAGAGCTTCCCGCTGCAGTCCTTCGGGAGTTTGCAGTTGCCCTGGGTCTCATGCCGCTGCTGAGCGTAAGCCTGGACAGACAATACTTAGGAGACCTACTCGCTTGCGACGCAGCCCCTGAGTTTGGTTTTGGTGTGTCGGCATGCCGCTGTTCATCAGATCTCCTGAAGCGTGTGGGTTGGCTAGCTGAGCGCCATGGTGATTGCGTGCGGGTGCATAAGACCCCAGGTGCGGACGAGAGGACACGGCTTGGCAATCCGCACAGGCTCTCTCTCGCCAAGGAGGACTTCCGCGATGTGGTTTCGGCGCCAGCACGATGGACGGCGCATTCTAGCACGCTCGAAGGCCATGCTTTGCTCCTCACCCTGAAATGGGCATCTCGGAGTGTCGCGAAGCATCACAAGAAGCTTGCAATCATGGTGGACGCAAAAGCAGAGCTGGGTGCTGCCAGCAAAGGCAGAACATCCGCTCCGGCTCTCCGGGGCGTGGTTCGGGCCGTGGGGGCCTACTCACTTTGCTGCGACTTTCTCCTGCGGCTCGTTTACATCCCCTCCGAGGACAACCCCGCAGATGCTCCGTCACGAAATTTGCGGAGATGCAATCGAAAGCGCAAGCGGGCTCCGTGAACATCAATATTCTCCACTCCACTCGGAATTCACAGGCGCAAGGCACTGTCGCCCTGCCCCTGGTTACCGGATGCCGTGCGAGTGACGCCCTTGACTTAGTTGGGTGATCATGTTCGGCAGCTTGGACGAGCTGACGCATTGTTTCCAGGGGCAGTGGGCACATGGTCTGGTCCAGCCATGTCAGTGCAATTTTTGTGTACGTCTGCTCAAGCAACCAGTCGCTGGTAGTTGGGTCTGTTCTGGCACACCTGAGTCGCTCTTCAACCTGTACCAGAGCTCGTTTCGTGCATGCAAGATCTCTAACTTCCAGTGCCTGCGCCTTGAAAAGACCGTCTTGAGCTTCAGCAAGGACAGGAGAGCGCACCCGGCAGCAATGAAGGGGTATTGCTGAGGCAGCGGTCCAACGGAGGGCCTGTAGACTGCAACCAGGTATGCAGTTGGATGAATGGCCGCGCAGCTGCTTACTGAATCTCCATGCTGTTTATCGAAGGCCATTTGGGCCACAAGATGTTACCAGCGCTGGGCCCACCCTGCCCGCCCTTGTGTGGGTCTGTTCTGGCACACCTGAGTCGCTCTTCAACCTGTACCAGAGCTCGTTTCGCGCATGCAAGATCTCTAACTTCCAGTGCTTGCGCCTTGAAAAGACCGTCTTGAGCTTCAGCAAGGACAGGAGAGCGCACCCGGCAGCAATGACGGGGTATTGCTGAGGCAGCGGTCCAACGGAGGGCCTGTAGACTGCAACCAGGTATGCAGTTGGATGAGTGGCCGCGCAGCTGCTTACTGAATCTCCATGCTGTTTATCGAAGGCCATTTGGGCCACAAGATGTTACCAGCGCTGGGCCCACCCTGCCCGCCCTTGTGTGGGTCTGTTCTGGCACACCTGAGTCGCTCTTCAACCTGTACCAGAGCTCGTTTCGCGCATGCAAGATCTCTAACTTCCAGTGCTTGCGCCTTGAAAAGACCGTCTTGAGCTTCAGCAAGGACAGGAGAGCGCACCCGGCAGCAATGAAGGGGTATTGCTGAGGCAGCGGTCCAACGGAGGGCCTGTAGACTGCAACCAGGTATGCAGTTGGATGAGTGGCCGCGCAGGTGCTTCCTGAATCTCCATGCTGTTTATCGAAGGCCATTTGGGCCACAAGATGTTACCAGTGCTGGGCCCACCCTGCCCGCCCTTGTGTGGGTCTGTTCTGGCACACCTGAGTCGCTCTTCAACCTGTACCAGAGCTCGTTTCGTGCATGCAAGATCTCTAACTTCCAGTGCCTGCGCCTTGAAAAGACCGTCTTGAGCTTCAGCAAGGACAGGAGAGCGCACCCGGCAGCAATGAGGGCTTAGGGTTGAGAGGAGCTTCTGCCTGAAGGGCTTGGGCTTCTAACTTCCTACCGAAGCTAGTATACAAGAAGGTTTATGTGCTAGAAGCTAGAGGTCAGCGCCGGCTTCCATGGTTTGTAGCGTTCCGTGCTTTTGGATATGGGAGTTTCCGAAAATGGCGGATACCTCATCTGGGGTCCTTGTAATAAGCATCCTTTTATTTAGGGTACTATATTAGGGTCCCTTGTTTTCACTCCCATCTCGGCTTCGGAGGACGACCCCATCAAATGCAAACCCTCGAACCTTGCCGGGCTTTCTCGTGAAGGCGAAAGCAACAGTGAAAACCCGAACACCAAACTCAGAACGCTACGGCCAAAACCGTTTCTATGTGGATCGGCTTGGGCGTTGAGTTTTTTGGGTTCGAGTTTGAACGCACGAACACATACCTCCGTAAGCAGCGGAATGAGGAACCAGCAGGCACACCAGCAGACACTGTAATTGGCGAGTCGTATTTTCGGCAAGGATGTGAGCACACTTGGTGATAACCTTCGAGATGTTGATACACGCATTCCCTGCAACACTGAATCCCAAGCAGCAGACAACACCCCGAAACGCTCTCACTCACATGCACACCTAACATGGCCTTTGCGCCCAAAAGCCTGAACTCATCTTGCTGTACATCCTAAACCCTAAACCCAAATCCTTAAATCTTAAACCCCAGACCCAAAACCCTAATCCCTTGCTCTATATGTTGGGTGTGAAGATCAGATCTTATCTTCTCCGGCTTTCAAGGGGCAAGGGTACCGCCACTGACACCGACACACCTCCCCACTGCCGCCACCACACCGTAACATGTTATGGTGCATTTTCGTAGAATAATCGTTATTCATAATGATATACAATGATGTGTTATGACATAGTATCATGTAGCACAACCCACGACTATGACCGCTACTTCGACCACTACAAGCAGTCACAACAAGTGGTACTTATAGTCTTAGTGACAACTAGCGGTACTTAAGCCTCCAGAAGCCGATAAGCCAAGCCTTTAAAGTAACTTGGGTTTGTGGGTTTCAGGGTTCAGGGCTCTAGGGCTTGGGACCTGGGATTGAGAGCTTAGGGCTTGGGGGTATAACTTTAGAGCTTTCAAGGTTCAGGACTCTACAAGCGTTTTTGTCCCTGTCTGAATCCCCCACTCGATTCTGGGCTCCACGTACCACACGTACCTTTCTGTAGAGCCACAAGAAATCCCATCGTGCGGTCGGACTTGAGAACTTACAACAAAGCAGGACGTAGTAACTTCAGTGTTTATCATAAGAACCTACGAGAAAGTAGTGTATGGTAACTCAAGGGAACTCTGCAAAGCATCAGTCACATCGCGAGGTCGGGACTCACAGAGAGGAGTCGCATCGTGGAGGTCCGTTAACCCCGAACCCTAAACTACCACAAAGCCAGAATCCTCGGCAGTATTTCGCGGCTATCTATAAGGCCTTTCCCCTTGACACTAAGTGTATGAAATTCTGCATCTATTCATAAATCTTGAGTTGTGAAGGTAGAACCAAGAACCCTAGATCAATCATGTTGAACCTACACATCAGACCCAGACAAACCCATAGCCATCCACAGCCCTGAATCCTGAATCGACAACCTTACCCGAAACCCTAAACCTCGGCGCCTTCAAGCCGAGAACCCCAGAGACAGTTTGATGGTGGGGAGGGCTGCCGTGCAGTCGCGGCTTTGTTGTTACACAATTTGTACTGTTGGACCCTTTTGCCCCTGCCCCCGTGATGGATGCCATCTGGTATGATGCATTGTCATTGCTGGCGTGATTTCTCTCAACGATACTTCTCGCCTGACCGTCGTCATCATCACGATCATCAGCAGCATCACCGTCATCCCTCATGGTCATCATGGTCACCAGGGTCATCATCGTCATCATCATCATCATCTTTACAACTGTCTCAACCCTGTCGGCAGTCCAGCTTCTGCTTTGCCTGCATGCCTGTACTTGCATCTCATGTTTCGGGCCCATATTCCCCAAGCACTGACGGCCTCGTAATCAAAGCTTCTGCAAAAGAGTTTTTGATCTGGAGGAGGCGCGCTCCCAGCGCTACAAGCACTTGGTCGATGTTATGCAGGTGGAACACATGTGCAATGCAAGTCCTCCAGCGGCTGCTGTTGCTCTTAGGATGGTGATGATGATGATGAGGATGGCGCCGGAAATGGAAGTGGTGATCATGATAGTCAGGCTGATGACATGTCCGGGGATGGAAAGGTCTGTGTAAACAGATTAGGGCCACGAGAAGCGCATTAAGAGTTTCGTCATGGATCGCAAGACCGCAAGACCCACAGTGCTCGGTATTTGCAGCAATGGCTCCAACAGTGGTCATGACAGCAGTTGTTGAACCGGGCATCCAGGTCATGAACATGTCCGATCGGCAATGTCGAAGCTAGCAGGTCTCGCACTCGACATTTGACGTGGCAGAAACGACGGTGAAGTGTGCATCACTAATACTAGCAACAGTAGCATATCAGCAGCTTAGCAGCAAGAGCGGCAGCGACAAGAACTGCGAGTAAGAACAGTAGCAGCAGTAGCAGCAGCAGTGACAGCACCTGCAGCAAAAAAGCAGAGCAAAGGCACGACAAAATCGTGACTAGTCACCGGTAGGGAGTACAACATGATAACAGTCGTGTTGGTTCAGTCGACGATGCTCATGCTCACAACTTCTGGAACTTTCTTCTCAGCGTGCTGTACTAAATCCTAAACCCGAAACTCTAGTGACTCTAGTCCCAAACCCAAAGCCCGACACGGCCAGGTGTCTGTGAAAGAGGACGCGGAAACTGCGCGGCAGGAGATCAGTGCGAGGGCGGAGGCTCGGCCAAGCAACCGAGGACTACATATTGTATGCATCCTACACATGTGCCTTCATTGCTTCTGAACGCTCATGTGTTTCATCAGTTTGAACTAGCGTGTCCGAGTTGCCAAGAACATTTTGGTTTCGACTTTGCTTCCATGGAACCCAGCAGCCTCAACCGCTTTGGCTGAAACAAACAGGATGCTTTGGAAGGCCGCTGAAGCACTGAGATGTACATCGCAACAGGTTCGTCGCAGAGCAGCCGCAGAAAGCAACCACACAACACAGACATGTCTTTCGCGAAAGCGCCTCGATGGCGAGCTTCACGGCCAGACGCCACCCCTGGGCCCGGTGCATATTCGCTCCCATGGGGTCCACCCCCACTACTGGCCAAGACCCGAAAGCGCAGCCGGCCAGCTCCTGCGGCCTGGCTGCTCAGCGTTCCCGGCGAGCCCCGTCCGAGCTGCCCCAGGCAAAGCTGCCCCCGCCAGTGTTGCTGGGCAGCGGCGGGGTGGCCGAAGTCTTGCTTGGCAAGTGGGGGACGCTGAAGGCTGCAGTGCAAACTGCCAAGCAGCCAGGATGGGATCACGAAATCCTTGCAGAAGCAGCTTTTCTCGCCCGCCTTGGGCCGCATCCCAACATCGGGTGCTGGGCGTGGCGCCAGGGCCCCGTGTGCACCTGTACCTGGAAATGCTTGGGCCATCGTTGGCAAATTATGCCATGAAAACACAAGCGGAGGTGGCCGACCTGGCCCAGGGGTTGCTGGCCGCCCTTGCCCACCTGGAGAATGGCCTGGTGGGCACACGGATGTGAATTGAATTTGATGTTCCGCAACCACGACATTGTGCTCATCGACTTGGATGCTGCCATCGAGGTCATGGACCGCGAGCAACTTGTGCAGCGGAAGCCAGGAAATCTGGCGAACCTGTTTTCAGCCGTGTGGACCCAAGGGTCGTCAATCCTCTCAAGGAGGATGTCCGTGCTGCAGGAGCAGTCCTCCACAACGTGGCGGAGGACACGCTGCCCAGCCAGCTGCTGGCTTTCCTTGCAGACCTGTCTGCACCCGAAGCCCAGCGGCCGTTTGCAACCGCGGCAGCCGAGCAGCTGCAGATGACCATCGCCTGTGTAGGTTTGTTGGACAACTGCATTGTTGAGGATCCGAAGAAGGCAAGATTCCATCCCAAGCACATGCGAGGCATCACACAAGCGAATTCAACACTTCCTTCAAGGGTCCTCCTGCCATTCATCTTCCTCGCTCCTTCTTGTTCCTGCTCGGTACAGAAGCTGTGCACTGGAAGCTGAGTTGGCGCCGGCTCGGGATATCTGTCGAAAAGCGACGGACGGGAGAATCGGCCAGCCAAGTCCAGCAGTCAATGAAATGCTTCTGCATGCCCGTACTCTTGACCCCTTCCATACTAAGCTACGCTGCAGCCTGATTTGCAGTCCCTTGCCACGTGGACTGCGGTGCCCGGCCTGCCCCTCCGAGCTAATGCTTGGAAAAAGAGATGACATGCACTTCATGTTGTTGTCTTTGAGAGGCTCCAAAACACATGGGTTAAGGCTGCCTAGGGTTCCTTTACAGGATCTATATGGGATCTATAGGGCTTAGGTTTAGGGGTTGGTTTACTAACCAAGGAATATACCTTAAATTGTCACAGGAATCCTAACATGATTTAAGGTATGTTCCTTAATTAAGGGGTTTTGGAGTCTCTGGGTCTCAGCATTTTTGTGGAAGTGCGCCATTACCACTCTACCACCCCGACCACCACACCGCCGTCACCGCCACCGCCGCCACCACAACTGCCAGTGCTGGCACACCACTGTCGCCAGCACCAGCAGCAGCGCCGCATGACATCCGTCAGTGCCAGTATCACCGCCATCACCTTCCCTGCATGCCTGTAAACATCACTATCACAATCAGCATTACCCTCATTCATCATCATCATTCACCATGCACGGTCATCAGCACCCTCACCATCATGGTGATAGCATCAGTCGTCACCACGATCATCATCGCCACCAGCGGAATCGCCGTCATTACCATCATCGGCACCACACCTGTATCTTCGTCAGCGTGAACAGTAAATCGCCTCAGAATGTCGAGCCTTGGTGTAATGCAAATTCTGTAACGTGAAAAACGATAATATCCTGTAATCTACTCTGCGAGGGTTACGATGAGGGCGACTACAGGTTTACAAACCGGCTACTTTAGGGCGGCACAGCAGAGGCATCTATAGGGTGTTTTCGGTTAGTGTAGGGTTTCTATAGGGATACTCTGGTGTTCTACTTGGAAGCTAAGTGTTTCAAGGCGGGGGTGGGTTTTACGACCTACTCTTCCTTGCCCTTTGGCCGCAGGTGTCCAAAGAGACCGTGAAAGGAAACGTGCAAATTCAGGACCGGGTGCCACGTGCACGTGTGTGTGTGTGTATTGCGTGTGTGTGTGTGTGTGTGTGTGTGTGTGTGTGTGTTGGCACGAACCGAACGACTTCAACACACCCAGAAAGCCCTAAACCGACAAGTTGTCATACACCGCTGTAAGGTTACATAGGGCCTTTATGGGATATGATAATCTGATAATATCATGGTGTTGTATTTTTACTGTTACATATCAGAAGTTGTGTTTTTGTTGCTACAGAGGTTGCTGGCTATTGCTGTTATTATGGTTGTTAGTTCCATTAAATGCTCGTTTTTAATTCATTTTTTAGTATTAATGTTCTTCTTCTTATTGCGATTAGTAGTTTTATTGTTGGTACTATATACTGTTATTGCTATATTGCTGCTTATCATTGCCATTAACCATTCTTGAGACATTTGGACTATACGGAGGTTTTCTTGAGCTCGGAGCTTCAACGCATTCGTTTCATCTGAGGCAAGGAGCTAATCTCCTTGAACGGGCGCAGCCCAAAAAGCATTGCGGAGGTGAGCAAGCAGTGAACTTTGCATCACGGCGGGCCGTAGCGATGCTCCAGTCCCAGACACGAGGCATGCTTTCTTGTCTTTCGCCCCAGCACCTCTTTGATGAAGAAGCCGAAATAAGATTCATGTCTCCGTATCTCTTGAAGATCTATGTTAGCCCCGCAAGTGGTCGGTGCAGAAGCTGCTGTGTCTGCTCACCCTACACCCTAATGCCCTAAACCACAAGAAGAGAAGATAGCCTTTGGGGTTCGGGGGTTGACTCGGCCCCGGCCTTAAACCTTCCAACGCTTAGCAGAACCTCAAGGACATCGCGGGAGGGGAAGGGCCCGAAGCCGTAAACCACATAAACCCTGCGAGCCCTGAGCACTTAGAGCTTCAGGGTTTACCCAAACTTTTCGCTCCAAAACTCCTATGGCCTGAAGCCCCCAATGCCGTTGTCGAGCCTTTCGATGGAATCCTGCAGGAGAGCCAGGCAAGGGTAGAGAAGAGCAGCCGGCCGCCCATCTTCCGTTTTCGGGCTTTAGGGTTATTGCTTGAAGGGTTAGTGTTTCAAGTTTGGGGTTTTAGGGTGTAGGGGTTTAGGGTTCCTTCCCTAAGCCCTAAGCCCCTTTTTTTTTGAGGGGAAGGGATTGAATCCTCCGCATTCAAAGCCCTCCAGCCCGGAACTTGCACCCAGAGACTCCAATGTCCCTTAATTAAGGAATACCTAGGGCCCTTTTAAGGGATCTAGAAGGGTTCTTTTAAAGGGATCCTATAAGGGATCTATAGGGTTTAGGGTTTAAGAGACTCCAATGTCCCTTAAGTAAGGAATATACCTTAAATCGTAGTAGGGATCCTATGATTTAAGGTATATCCCTTAAATTGGAGTCTCTGGGCACAGGCCATCGCAAGCTTAGATCTCACGAGCCGCCAAACCTCGAAAGCTCTAAACCCCCAAAAGCTCTGAGCTACAGAAGCTTGCAGGCCAATCTATTTATCTGTAATACCAGTATCTATATTCATATCTAGATCTAGATCCTGCTCTATCTATCTATCTATTGTGTAAAAGCCATTGCTGTCTATCCCGTCTAGGCGGGCGTTACAAACAATGTGATGTCGTAGTTCTTGCTGCCGTCATCCGCCGTCGTGGTGGTCGTCGTTGCCGACCGTGATGATGATGATGCTGTTGATGACAGTGTTGGAAATGATGATGATTACCAAGGAGATGTTGATGGTGGAGGCGGTGCATATGGCATATGGTTCACCATCAAGAGAAATTGAATGCCATGCGCATGATGGCCGTCATGATGTCTCGTCGCATGACGCATTTTACAGCACGTCTTCTCCTTGTTGTAAAGGGTGGCTTTCGGCTGTTAGTACTCTGATGTCATTGCTGTTAGCGTCACTTTCCGTAGCAGTGCTCTCAATCCTGCATGATTGTCTTGCAGTGTCGCCGCCACTCCTCGTCCTCCCGCAAAAACGACCAACAGCGCCTACTCCCAAGCCACCCCAACTCCTAATCCTACACCTAATCCTACACCAAATCCTACTCCTACTCCTGCTTCTGCTCCTCCTGCATGATCAGTTGTTGTTCCCTCATCGGTTGTAGATTGCGTTCTGACCGCCAGCTCTTGGAGCTCTCGCTCGCTGAGGCTCCAACTTTTGGCAATGGGCGCAAGGCTCAGCTCAGACACAGCTTTGAAGCATGTGGGAGTTTCTGAAAATTCGGGGTACCTTATCATAAGGATCTTACTATTGGGGGGTACTATATTAGGGTCCCCTATTTCCGGAAACTCCCATGTGGCTCACCAGCACTTCAAGGATTCGCGTATGTCTCAGGGGTCAGGGTGATGTTAGCAGAGCTTGTGTCTTGGATCAGCTGACTGGGGACCCCTTTGTTCTTGGGTTTATGTTTGCTTGTGGCAATTTCCAGGGTTCGGAAGATTTCATACCGTTTCAGCACTTCAGGCAGCCAGAAAGCCCCAGGTCAGTTTGGTGAAGCTTTGAACTTTCATAAGATGCCTTGCGATCTGTCCCACATGAAAAGCTCAGGGCAGAATTTTTGAAAACGGGCTAAGGGCGCGCTTATCGCCTTTCCACCCGCCCCTGCCCTCCACATACCCCCAAAACTCAAACCTTGAAGCCTGCACTCAGACTCCGCCCTAGACCCCAAGCACTAGACCGCCAGAGAGCCCTGGCGCCATGGCTAGCGAAGCCTGTGCTTTCTGCGCTCTCTCATCTTCGCCGCTGCTGCTATCGACGCCCTCGTCGTGGGTTCTGGGACAGACGGCCCCTCCCGCCAGCCCAAAGTGGCGGCGCTGGGTTCCGGGCTGTCTCCTCGGCAGCTTCGGTCTCCGGGCACGACTGCGGCCCCGAGGGTCCCGGCGAGGGCACCGGGCCCTGAGCTCCGAAAGCTCGGAAGCGCAGGGCCCAGGCCCGGGCTCGGCTTCGCAGGCGCCAATAGAACCCCGGGCCCCGGCAGACTCCGATGAAGAGCGGAGGAAGACGCCGCGCAACAGGTGCAGGGTGCCGGAGTTTTGTATTTTTCTGTGTGGTATTGTGGTTTCTTGCAGATCATGGAGGTATGTAATGTTCAAGATACATGTGGGTGGTTGTCAAAATTATGGTCCTTTTTTGGGTACCCTAATTATTAGGTGCCGTACTTTAATAGGGACCCAAAAAGGGACCATAATTTTGACAACCACCCATGTGGGTAGGAAGGCTGTGGGGTGACCTGAACTCCTAACTCCTTACATGCCTAAGCCTACACCTTAAGCCCCTAAGCACAGCATCTCTCATAGAGCCTTTCTAGAACTGTTATAGAATCAGAGCTTTAAGCCCTAGAGACCCGTAAAGCCTAAACCCTAACCCCTAGACCCTAAGCCCTAGACCCTAAACCTTAAACCCTAAGACCTAAACCCCACGAGGTGGCTGAACCTGCTGGAGCGGCTCTTTCGGGATCTGGGGGAGGTCAGCTCTCGACCGCGCCGCGATGTTCGGGGCCAAGTTTGGTGGAGGCTTTGGGTTCAGGGCCCTAAAACCCGAAACCCTAAACCCCACAACCAAGTTTAGGGTTTGGGTTGTAAGGTTTGGGGTTTAGGGTTTGGGGTTGAAGGGTTGAGGGGAAGGGTTGGGGGATGACGGGTTTGGGTTTGGGTTGAAGGGTTGAAGGGTTGAGGGTTTAAGGGTTTAGGAGTTTAGGGTTTGGGGTTCAAGAATTTTGTCAAGGAATGGGTAGCTTGCGAACCTTCCGGCAGTGGTCAACAATCTGCACACCCCAAACCCTAAGCACTCAACGGTTGATTCAAGAATCTTTCGCAACTTCATGGCCAAACTTCGAATTTGGGGGGAGATGGCAATCCTGAGAAGACGACCTCTCCCAGAGGATTCTTCTTGGTTTCAACTTCGTGTGAATGGCGGGGTGTACCTTGGGTACGGCCCCCAATCAGTAACAGTTGGATAATATTCATAATATAAATATGTAAGGCCCTTAATAATAGCCCTATTATAGACTGTGACTGTTACTGTATGGGGGCCGTACCCAAGGTGTACCGGTACTGTGTGGTATTGTCGCATGCATTCCTGGAGCCCAAAACTTGAATGCAGCCCGGCATGCTACCGTACATCCCAGTTGCAAATGCCAAGCTACCTAAACCCTAAACCCTAAACCCTAAACAAGTCCCTTGAACTCGAAACCCTAAACCTTGAACCCCAAACCTTCAGCCCAGAATCCCAAACCTGAGACCCTGAAGACCCAAGGCGACTTATTGGGGCCTGGTGCTTGGCTCCCTTTCTTTGGCCGTGGTCAGCGACTTCCTTGGCATCATGAGGTCCCAAGAGAGTCCAATATGGGAGTTTCGGAAAATCAGTGGTCCTTAAAAGGGATCTATAAGGGTTCCTTAAAGGAATCTATGAGGGTTCTATAAAGGGTTTAGGGTTTGGGAGTTTCCGAAAATTAGGGGTACCCTGTGTTGGGGTCCTTACAATAAGCATCCTACTATTTCGGGTACTGTATTAGGGTCCCCTGTTTTCGGAACCTCCCATGTAGTGCTTTTGATCATGAACTGAGGGTTTGGCATGCTTTTGGATGTTTGCATCCGGTTTTCACGTCTGTGTCCGAAATCCTAGAGCCCAGAAATCCTAGATCCTGAACCTTCACTACATCCCAAAATCCTACACCCTAAACCCTAAACCCTAAACCCTAAACCCCTAAGCCCTAAACCCTAAACCCTAAACTCTAAAGTCTTTTCCAGCGCCTTGCAGGCTGCTGCTGAGCCTCAACCCAAGCGGCGCGAAGGAGATGGGCCTCGACGAGGTGTACCCTGTGGAGGGCCTCAAGACGCCCGCGCCCCGGGCATTCCGGGGAGTGTTTTATACTTTTTAATTTGTATGGGTTTCAGGATTTCGGTGTTTTAGGGTTCAAGGTTGAGGGTTTGGGGTTCAAAGCTTTAGAGTCCTCTTTTGGAGTGGTAGGAGGGCTGCGGAAGGGAAGCCCCGGAATCGAAGTGCTACAGCGATGCAAGCAAAGCAGGTGGAGGACACATGGTACAATGTGTTCAGGTGGGGCTTGAGAGAGAAGAGATCATGGCAGGGATGATCGTGCCTTCAGCAGTCAGGATAGCAATTTAGCAAGGGACGGCAGAACTCATGTTGAGGAGTTCCAGACTTGGGATTACCCCTCTTCAAGCCTGAGATGCTAGAAAAGTCACGCCTTTCATTTGCCGGTAATACAGTGCTGAGTCCATCACGACGAAGACCGCAACCGCCGCTGCAGCCACTGCCACCACCGTTGCCACGCCACCACTACTGCCACCGCACCCGCCGCCATCACCACCACTCAATGTTCGTGTTGCCGGCACGCCTATTACACATAACGCTAGGCTTTCATAGCGAAGCGGTTCTATCAATGCTGTCATCTTCTCGAGAGAGGTACCGCCAGCGGGGGCGCTACCGTCTCCGATACCCCGGCGAGTGGCTTTTCGATCAGAGTGTGGCCTTCTCGAAGCAGGCCGCCATTGAGCTGCCGACCTTGAGGCGTGGGGTTTCAGGCTTGTGAGGGCTTTGAGAACTTAGCGGTTTTTGGTGGTTAGCTAGGGTTCTGGCGATTTAGGGATGTAGGAGTTTGAGGGTTCTAGAGCTTGGGAGGTGAGGGTGAGGTTTCGCAGTTGTTGGTGTAGTCACGACGTTCGTGCGATTTTGCGGGTAGTTGGGGCATCACTGAATGATGTAGTTGAGGGGACGTTCTTAGCCACTTGAAGGGTTGCTGGTCAAGGGTACCGATGCTACTACAGGGTGGAGTATCGGATCTTGCAGGCCACCACCCCTGCCGGCCCTCTCAAAACGGAAGCCCGGATTCGCTAGACTCCAAACCCCTAAACCCCTAACCACAAAGGGCTTGAGGACCAGGGCCACTTATGTTTGTCACCTGTCGGAAGTTCGCTGAAGGTGGTCTTCAGTTTTGAACATACAGGGGCTTTGATCGTACCCTTTGTATGAGGCCTCAAAACACGCAGTATAGTACCCCTTGTAGCAACCCACAGGAACCGAGTAGCTCTGCAGGTTGTTATATTTCCACAAACAGCCGGCACGATGCACAAGGAGCTACAGAGACTCAATGCAAGACTGTTCACAGAAGTTTTTTCCAAGCCCTGCAAGGTTCAGGGTTTATGGTTTTACCCTTGACCCGAAACTCCTAAACCCTAAGCATAAGCCCTGAACCTGAAGTTGCGAACTCTAAGTCTATCGGGCCTGATAAGAGTTCAAGGTAGAGAAAGCTCTTTCTCGGATAGTGGCCCCTTCGAGCATGCAGCAAAAAGACTCGCCCCCGTTCGTAGATAACGGGCCCGCACAAAGGCATGCATTGCTGTTCCCTTTGTTGCATCCCACTGAAAACCGCGATCTTTCATGTACTCGAGGCCGCTATCTTGAAACTTCGCTTTCCCAGACCCGTGAAAACACCGGGCCAAGCCCCTGAAATGCCCAAGCTCAAATGTAGAGGCAGAAGAAGCGCATCGTCCCCGACGCGGCGTTTGGGCCGGCCGGCGGCGGCTTGGCGACCACCGCCACAGCACAGAACCTTTCCGTGGTGCGCCCGGGGCGGCAAGGGTTTGGGGTTTGTTTGGGTTTGGGGCATAGGCTTTGGGGCTTCTGCCTTGCATTCCGTCTATAGGTAGGATGCTTGGCAAAGTTTTGCTGCCACCACAGTTGGTGTCATGCTTAGTTTCATACGATGGAACGAGCGCATGTAGTTTCATGGCGTAGCGTAGAATACCTTCCAGTACTTGTCATCGTTAACAGCCAGTAGTTAAACACTGTCACAAGCATCATCGTCGTCAAGCAATTTCAGCGGTGATAGCAGTGGTTATAGTAAACGGCCGACACAGAATCATTGTAATAGAAGTATGGCTTGGTAACAGAGTGTCCAAGCCAGAGACAGAGAGTAATATGGGGGCCTTAACAACAATTGGAATATGGTGTTGGGGCCATTTTACTATACTTATCAGAAGGAACCACCCAAATGGTACTGGTAATTATTTAAGCACCTTTCCTGTAGTAGCCCGTTTAGTACCCCCTATCGACTCCTTAAAGGAACCCTGTTGGTAATTATTTAGGCCCCTATTTCAGTTGAGTCACCAACTGCCCAGGCGAAGGAATCGCAGAAGAGATGGGAAT